ACGACCTAAACATTGGACCTTGAGAACGCTCTGAAATCGCTTGAAGCCCGGACATTTATTCTTGGTCGAGATTACAATACCTCGGCGAACTACCAGACGTCAGGTGAAAACTAACATCTGCGCAGATCGATAAACTTGGTGGTTCCAGATGGCTTGTGGATGGAGGAGGCGGGAAGCTCTGGGAATGTGCTTAAACTATTCCAGCCGATGCGTTCAATGCGCCCAAAGAGGTATTCGGTAAGCGAAAAAGTCAGACAAAAGCAGCTCGTTTGTCCCCAAAAAAGAACATGTGGACCATTAGGCTGGACGCTTTTATTAACGATTCAACTAGGCACTTGCGATTACCCAGCCAGATTTCCTACCCGCAATGAAGCCCTAGAGAATGAACTTGGAACCTCCGACGGCTTTTTGAATGGGTGAATGCCTTGTCTTCACCAAACGTCACTGAGTCACTGTTCCTGATGAAGTCCCGCCTGCTATTTCGGAAATAGAGGCGAAATCCCCAGCTAGTGCTTGTCTGACTAACTTTTCTTTATCTTGGCGAAAGTGACCATCCCAGACAGTGACTGAGTCGATGGTAGTGCCCAAGGTGCCCGAAGTGAGTGTCGCTATAACAGAGGAGTTGGCTTGATCTGCTTGTAACCAGACTACTATTTCACGTTGCTTTATGAAGACACGTGAAGACCCGAGAACCGCAATGAGGATTCCGGCCGGGAAGGACCTGCTTGGATCATATCTTCACACTCCGTGAAATGTTAGAGCAACTGCATTTGCACAGGCGCCCTACAATTTTGATGTCCTTTGAATTCAAGGGTGTCTTCGATTCTGTCGATCGGTCAGTGCTCATAATTACTCCTTTTCAACAGAGACGCTCCAGAAGCTCTTCAAAACCCCGGTGTTCAAGTAGTTACCCGTGGGAACCTTGTCGACCTGGAGTCCGCAGACGATGTCCTTATCTTTGAAGAATGCGAAGCACAAGCCCTGTTAAATAAATTGGCCTGCTTTCTGTACCTTCGAAGCGCAGTCCTGCTTCAGAACATGCAGTCTCAGAACGTGCCTCTTACAATTCAAGGGAAGCGCTGGAGGTCGTGAAGAATTTCGTATACTTCGGTGGTTGTATTAACTTTGACGGAATTGTGTCTAATGAAGTCAGTGCACGAATCCCAAGGGCGTGAATCGCGTTTGCTAATTTGCTTCACTTGTGGCATCAAAGTGGCATCACTGTGTCTCAAGCGTCGCGTGTACCAGGCTACAGTAAGGGCTGTGTCGTGTGGTTGCCACATTGTGTCCGTTACTCAAGCCTTATCGCAATCCTCAGCTTGCGATCCCGTAAGCAATTTAGCCACCATGCTGATTCTCATTATGTCTTGCCGTTTTATTGCACTCCTGAAACTCGAATACAGGACTCAACCGCAATAATTTGGTGTGCAGCATTTTCATTGTCCAGGCGCTGGTGTTCATTTCTGTTCGTGCATGTACTCATTGATTGCAGCTTATGGTGGTGGCTAATGTAGGACCGAGGATGCGAAAAAAAAGGACAATAGAATGGATCTAACATCGCTATGTAATCTCAGCCATTGATGTGGTGGGGGTGTGATACTTCAACCTCTCAAACACCATGCTTTAGTGCAGTCAAAACGTTTCATCCTCCGTTCTTCATCTTCAGATCATACGTTGTCCACTCCACGGTATCTCGCAATTTGGCTCAGAAAACGGCAGGTCTAGGCAATTGGTCACCTAGTATCTGGAGCACTTGGTCAAACCAGCGTGGTTTTTACAACTGAATCAACTCCCCAAATGGACAAGCAGCTGCGTTGTTCCAAAAGCTGTTCGCCGCACATAAACATTGCCTATTCGATATTCCCATGATACGTGTACAATAATAATATACTAATCGTTCGGATGCAGCATCCTTTCGGTGTGCAGCTGCCATGCCACCAGAAGGAAGCAAGAAGGCTGGGATACTGTCAGGTTGCCCAAGTGTTGACCGGGGAAGTCGAGAGGCAGAGGTCAGATTCGAACAACGGACCTTCCGGTCAGTAAATTCGCGCTTGACCATTGAGCCATCTGGTCCCCATACGTGTACACTGCTTCGTAGGCTTCGAAGGATCGGTAGCAAACGATCTTCTTTTGTCGTGAGCACAGTGCCCAGGCTCCACGACTATAAAAGCAACACTGGACGTCCTGCCGCATTGTAGATCCTGCCTTCCACCAGCAGGCTAGTGAACCCCCATCTCTACGGGTGCTGAATTTGAAAAGGAGCAGGGCGGGACTTAGCTTTTACTTCATCAGCGGTGTTGCCATATAAAGTGATGCGACTAGTCAGATAGATAAAACTGTCCACTATCTCTCCCGACATAAAGCTGTCACCTTACCTTGGCGGTTTCCCTTCCGTACTGTAATTATCCTGCAGGATATACTAGCTGGATCTCAGTTTCCCAAAGTTCAAAGATACCAGGAATGCTAACAGTGAGCAGGCCGACGAAGGGCAGCGAGTCCCCGTACGGCGAGTAATCACATTACGAGATGGTTTGTGTGTAAAGTCGTACTGTCTTCTGCGACAGGAGTGTGAAAGCAATTTCCCTTAGGCGACCAGCATGCCCATATTTATGGAACCAGCGATGTTGCCTTCCCCCGAGGAAGAACGGGTTAGAAATGATCGGCTCTAAAAACCGCACACTCTGACCACCCAACGGTTGACCACGACCGCCGGTGCACTATCATTTTAGAACCTTCGGGTGGCATGGCAGTTAGGGACCGAAAGGGTGCTACACCTGAATGATTATTTCAAAACCAGAGCGTGGTGCTGCTCAAAAGGCACCTGCTGTGCTCAGCTGCACTAGGAGTGAGATCTAAATGCCTTACACTGCGCCCTCGGGCCAGGGCAGCCCCTTGCTGCCAAGTGGGCCAGACTATTGAATCAGTAGCTTTGGGAGGGGTCCCCCAAGAAAACCCTAACACCAACTGTCTTGCGGTACAAATTGTTGAGTCAGAGGCTAGGGGAAGGGTCCCCGAACAAAACTCTACATCGTCCCACCGCCTTGTGGGTCTGACTTTTGAGTCAGAGGCTCAGGATGGGGTACCTCAACCAAACCTTCTGCCTGGACAACTGGGAAGTACCATTTGCCCTTGCAGCTCTTCGCTGACCGGCCTTCTCATACACTCTCTTCCCACTCATCGTACAATGCAGTGCAATCAACCCACCTTCCATTTCCCTAGCCATATTCCGCGTCTAGACCTTCGCCCAGAAAATCCAACTAAAATAATCACTTACGAATCTCAAAAGATCTGATCCGCGTTGTAGCCTTTAACTTTCACACTCTGTCAAATTGGACAACAGGCATTCCATTTCTAAAACCTTGCTTTCCCATTCCATCGACTTTGCTGTCTCTGAAACGCATACAAGACCCCAATGCTCGCTTAGCATGAGCCCAGATGGTCCACATTTCACTCTTCGGATATCTACTGATCCTGACGCAATGATCTGTGGCACCTGCAGTGTGGGGGTTGTATTCAGCCCCAAGGCCGAAAGCGCCGTTCTGCCTTAAAACCGCCGGGCTTCTGGGTCAGATGGGATTTTTCAAGCATTACTGGGGCTCGAGATGGTTCGGTGGTTAAGGCTCGAACTTACCGGAAGGTTCGTGGCACCTCGACTGTCCGTTTCTAGGCTTCGTTAATACCCGGCATGTGAGGTGCAAATTGAAGAATGTCAAACGAGATTTCGAATAGATAGGAACTGTGTCAAGTACACTTCTGCATTAGTTCAAGTGCTTGAGCAGCGCCTTGCATATCGCCGACCAAAAATCGCTGTTTTCTTTGACTTTCTCTATGGACGATTAATACTTTTAATTACGCTTACACCAGAAAGTGTGTTCTCGGAATGCCAGCAGAGTTCCTGACCCTGATTGTAACGCCTTCGATTTTTGAAGTGTGTTGCTGTCGTGAATGATAAGGAAATTTACCGAAGATGTTCTTATGGACCTCAGGGCACTTTCTAACCAATTCGTGCAGGGAATGCCTCTCTTTGGTGCCCGCTTAGTCTGTATGCTTTCCGTATGATCGGAGCGCTCAGATGAAGGTGAACGGCTTGAAGTGGGGGTTTCTTGACGTTAAGTGCGGGGTACCGCAGTGGATAAAGCGCAAATTTACTGATGGGAAGGTCCGTGGTCTGAACCCGCCCCTCGATTTCCCCTGTCTAGGCTTGGGTAACGTGGCAGTATCCCAGCCCTCGTACCTCCTTCTGGTGGTATGGCAGTTAATTAATAAGAGTGCTTGGGCGAGATGGCCCAAGTGGTTAGAGCGCGAATTTACTGGCCGGAAGGTCCGTGGTTCGAATCCGACCTCCGCCACTCTACTTCCCCTGTCTAGGCTTGGGCAACCTGGCAGCATCCCAGCCCTCGTGCTTCCTTCGGGTGGCATGGCAGCTAGGCACCGGAAGGGTGCTACAGCTGAACGCTACAACTGAACTACCGCAACTTCCGGCAGCAGGACCCCTACTTTTCAACATTTACATCAACCATATTCAATGAACCCTTCATGCTTGCTGTTTTCTGACGAATTGCCAACTTAAAGTTGCAACGTAGTTTCGCAATGGCACCAGCATTCCGCAAAATAATCCGGATAATGTGAGTTTTCTGGAGGGTTTCTCCCGCTTAACCGCAGTAAATAAAAACTCCTGACGGCAGTTAAACAACTAATAAAGATGTGCTACGCCTTTGTGGGTGAGTCATTTCGCAGAAGGCGCCTGTTGGTTTTTAGCGTTCCGGTTCAGTCCGGCCTGTAAACGTCAGATTAGACAGCGTACTTAGTGGCGAATTGACATCGAATATTGTAGGTATCGCGGTCAGCGTTCAGTCTTCTTTAGACCGATCCTGCGGTGTGAAGATCCAGCTTATCTCACTTTACAAGGGCAAAAGAAAGCCAGTTGAAACGGCTTGATTGTATGCACATTTTCATTGTTATTTGCGTGATTATTTATACTCCTTTTCAAAACTGTGCAGATGTGTGATGACTTCACGATATCGTATAATATTCCTTCTTGCCAAAACGCATGGGGAGTGTTACGGTCAACTTGTAGTGAAACGGTTCATCACATTGGTTGTGAATGTATCATGTTTGGCACTGGAAAAGGTAAATGACTTTAATTTTCTTGAATTCCATCAGATAACCATGTCAGTCTCGTACATCCGCTTGTCTCGGAATTACACTGTTTCATCATGCTCGATCCTGATGGGGCAGTGTGGCTCTGTGACACAAGGTTTGTTTCCGTTGGTATATAGAGGATTTTCCGTTTGGTTAATCAGTGAACAGGGTACGCTACTCAACGGGTCTCGTTTATTGAAAAATGACCAAGCAAAGCTCAGCAGTGGAGATTCTTTCCATTTGTCCGTCGATGCAGCAGATTCATCCCCAAGTTTGTAAAGTTGACTCACATTTCATGTGCTCTCCAGATGTGGGATTTATTCTCGAATTGATGGGGAACGTCAATCTCGTCGAATCCGAAACCACAAGCAGCCCTAGACTACGAATAAAAAAACCACCACCAGCCGCTTCTTCTATTCTCACCAGCTCAGTATTGACCGATTCGGGCGTTGAGAATTGTTTGACTTGTGTTATATGTGGCAATATTTTTTTTGAATGTTGTAGGTAGGGGATATCTTTTTGTCACCTCACTGCTTTCAGCCTTCAGCCTTGTCTCCACAGCTTCTGTACATTATGTTGGTTACAATGGAGACAGGTCAGAAACATCTGTCCTGTGGTAAGGTACATATGTTCAAATGATCCTCGTTCTTGTCTAACAGTGCCGTCAACCAGCGACTGGTTATGGCAAGAACCACCAACTGAACCAGCTGACAGAACTGTATTTGAAGCAGAATCCAGGTAGGCCCCATGGATCCGCTTTCTTCGAATAATATATTTGGTTGTAGCCAAGCATAGAACAAGCGAAGAAATAAGAAAGGTGAACCAGGAGATTGAAATTCTAAAGGTATTTTTGGAACTGGATTGCTTTATATTGGATATGCTATAGGCTTCTGAATCGAAACCGAATGAAAATAGGTGAGTAGCTTTTTGCTGGCTTTAATTTCGCTTTCTTTAACTAGCTGTAGATAGCTCATATGCACTTCTATGGACTTACTGGTGATACTCTGACGAACAGGAACTAACTCAATAGATCTGATCCTTGGTACAGCTTAAATTGTCTGCACTCTGTCAAATCCCCACCAATATGTGTTTTACCTTCGAAATGTCACTTGGGACGGGCTGAGATATTTCACATTTTACCCCTATGGTATCTGATCAACCTGATACAATAGCCGTAGTACCCACGAGGTGTGTTGCGACTGAAAGCACCTTGCTAGGTTGAATTCCAGTTACTAATAGTCAGAATAATTGCCCCAGGCAGGAAGACGGTTGTTCAAATGACAGTCATGTGAGTGTGCGTTCTATAAAATTCCCCAACCATCAACACCAGTCGTCTATGCGTTATGCGGTTTTTCGGTTAATTTGGGGTCATTACAACCCGATGCGGTAAACGGTGTTTGCCTATTTCGTCGGCGTAAGCCTCGAAGGACTGCACTTTGGAAGTTTGTTTTCTTACGTTAAGCATCTGAAACCGACGCAGGGTTTATGACGAATTGGATGACTGGGTGATTGGTGGACCACTATCACGAAGCCATTACTATCTTCACGATAGTAATGTAGCGGTTGGTTTATCTTCTGTGTGCAGCACTTTATCCACCGGCTCTTGATGACCATGTTGGAGTTAGCTCTCCCTGATCTACATACTCAACGTGCAATATTAACCGGGACGCGATGCAAATAAGTGTGATTCGGTCGACTAGATTATGTATCACTGATGATTTGATGAGTTGAGACCATAAGGCCGATGTGTCGAATGATCTAACCCTTATGTGATGCTTGAGTCACTTCGTCCTGTTTTTGAAGTTTCGTGTGGATGAGATATGGTCCAGCATTTTTTCGGCTGCCCTGAAAGTTAGTGATATCATTACGGTTGTTAGAAGCATGCATAAAACTAATATCAAGCAATTTGTATGATTCTGAGTATCCGTCATTTCTCGGGTCCAGTTTAACAGATATATAAAAATTCATAAAACCGTCTTGATTCGCGCTTTGTCCCTACACACTTTCTAGCGCAGAATCTTGCACTCCATTAAATGATGTGTTTGTTTGAGTTCATTGCTCACAACTTGGCTCAAATGCTTCCATGTTTCGCATACGAACAAGCGTGCAATGCTACTTTGTCTCTGGGGAAACAAGTGTTGAAATATGATATTTGGAACTAACATCAGCTCCTGCCAATCGCAGCCTGAATATACTTCATGGATTGGGGAAATTTGCTCATTGCTTGTTCTCCCACTCATCTAACTTTGTGTATGAGAGGCTAGATTAATGAAATCATATCTTAAGCGAAGCGTACACATGATTTTCACGGATTTTATAGCTGTGAGGAAAGCAGGGTTCCAAAACTTAGCCAGGACGATCAATAGCGTCCGTAACTTTAAGCCAAAAGTTCCACGTCAGTTTTAAACTACTCGAAACCCACAATGTGGGGGTCGGAATAAACTCCGTTTTCCGACCAACCCAGTATGAAAGCTGCGAGATATCGTTGTAGGGCTCAGTGAATTTCGGATGTAGGGAAGTTTTAGCAGTGTACCAAAAACTGCGCTGCTTGACATCTCACGCTCCTACAAGTTGTTTATAGTCCGCTCACTTACGATGGGTGACGGACACCCGGGGCATATTTTTGGGGCTGTCTCATTCTCGCACTAGAAACCATCGTCATGATTTATGTATCAATGACTTTTTGAACGAAGAATGTTAGTTATGGTACACAGTATCTCACACATTCATACTTTGCCTAATACTTCTTTTCAATGCAGAAGTCTACACAATTCTGAGAGTTCCTTTTCCTCGGGATCATTTGGACCACTCGAACAATTACCTGTTGGATGCATAGTTTGTGGGCAAACTGGAGAAACGTCAGATATGGTCGCCCAACCGTGTGGGTAATGTGTCACGTTTGTAACGCTGCTTTACGCACAATGGATCTAAACCTAGGGATTATTTGTCCCTCTCTGTCTTCACTATACAATAATTTCGCTTACTGTTTTTTCAGCCAGGTGAATATGCTAATGAACTCAAATCTTAATAGAAGAAGTCCTAATTGGTCTACAGGAAACTGACGAAAATCTGACCTCAGGCCAATCCATAACTTAGTGAGGCTCTGTCAAAGAACATGACCGACATCAGTTGGGTTGTCTTATAGTGTCAGATGCTTGTTGAACCTGAGTACGATCCTAAAAAGGTGGGCAAATTCATTTTATTTTGTGGGAGACTGAATAGTCTAACTTCTGCGGTTATCGCAGCTGGGCGAAACTCGTCACAAAATTGTGTTAACCAGAGAAGACACAATAATATCTCACCATACTTGTCAGCAAGGATGATGAAGATCGTGACCTTCACCTCATCGTTACCCAATTTAAGAGGCCACAGAGATATTGGTGCACTTACTTGAATGTTTCGATAAGAAAGTCAAGAACAACTACCTCCCAAATCGTTTCAGAGGGGTTTGGTAAACAATCGGTGGATTTATTGCTGGGCAACGTTTCGCTTTTGACACAAAAGCTTCGTCAGGCCAAGTGAGTAAGTAAGTAGGTTGATTGGGTTTTAAGGCAGTCAGGGAACCACTCCGTGAGATTCCTTATGACTAGTGAGGTGATCAGTGCTGGATGTTCAGTCTGATGTCCCTGTTTGTTGATTAGTGGGGATGACTAAGCTTTACGATAGATTGGTTTGGGGGGGGGTTCGTCTTTATGATGATGATGATAAGGAATCTCACGGATTGGTTCCCTGACTGCCTTAAAACCCAATCAACCTACTTACTTACTCACTTGGCCTGACGAAGCTTTTGTGTCAAAAGCGAAACGTTGCCCAGCAATAAATCCACCGATTTTTTACTAAACCCCTCTGAAACGATAACTTCCCAATCGGTCCCAAACATTTTCCAGTTGATCGAATACCTCCCGAATCCATTGCAAAGCGTATGAATCTAAAAGATTTGTTGAAACATCAGGCGGCCTGTGTGCAGCATATTCAGTCGTAGAATAGCATAAACGAGAGAGATTCAGTTGAGTCTCTCGTGAAAACCAAACTGATTTGTTAATGAGTGTATTTTTCGAAAAACAGTCCAATCTGGGTTCAAGTAGAACATAAGGTTGACGGAAACTCGGGGACTGCGCCTGCCTGATGAGTCCCAAGAAGGGCGAAACCGGTCGTGGGCTGTCGAAGAGTTTTCAGCAACCTTGTGAGTAGCTTCCTTTATGAAAGATTTGTTTTCTTTCCATCGCATAGCATGGGGGGGAATTTGTTTGGAATACATTTTCTATACCTCACTCTCAGCTCCCAAGTAATTAGGATACATTGTCACCAATGATCTACCTAGCGGAACTCGCTATGGAAAATACAGTGCAGCGATAGCCTCGTGATTTTCGCTGATCAACATAATATCTATTAAATTACCTTGAGTTTGCGGTTTATTGAATAACTTTTATGTGTCATAATGTTTTCGGCCCTTTGGTCTTTTGTGAATGCCTTGATGCGCAAAACAGCTCTAGCCCACAGACTGTAAGATTCAGCATGTGATATTTTGGCACTTCTATGGTCCTTTACGGTAGGTATGGTTCTGCAGGCCAGTTCGTTTTAGTGTGTTCGAACTATACAAATTTGCACGTTTGTTTTACGAAAGACGAGACGAAGTTGAGTGCTGACGTGCAGCAGGTACCTGGAAGTGGGTCCGATACCCTGAGCCATAGTGTGTTAAGCTATTCGAGGGTATCGTTCATCTTTGTCTGAGTTTCCGCGATCAGTTCGCCCTTTGGTTTGTATTTAAAGTTATACAGCTTATTTGCTTGTGTGTTCACCTCCCAGGTATGGCACACGAAACATGTGCTTGTTGCGGTGCCATTATTCCGAAGTATCAGCGCGATTCGCTTGAAGAGAATAAAGTTGAATGTGAAGGCTGTGGGCGTTCTTATTGCAACCTCATTGCACCCAGCGGATGTTCTGCCTGCATGAACGATTGTCTCACTCCAATCAGCCGTAAGTTTCTTTTCCTCTTCTGAGACGAGTTATGTTATGTTTCATTTGTCTTGATTAAGTCCTCGTTGTCTAATCTCACTTGCTGCAGTGCTGATGTGTAGTGTCTGTTCTTCCCCTAGGCTGATATGATAGCTTTGTTGGGTTGTTTTGTTTGACGCCTAGTTTGGAACCAATTCGAACGGTTCGTTCACCAGGCCTAGATATAAAGCGAAGGAATAGCACAATTGCATGAATAGCTATCAGAGTACACAAGTTTCTTACCAGAACATACGTTCGTGGTGTAAGTCAGTGGTATTTACGTGAGAGCTCTTTATCTGATATAGCGGGGTATAATACAGCCACCACTCGGTGTTTTCTTTATCTGTGAGTAAAATCAGTTCAACAGAATTACAGGACGTGCTAAGATGTAAGTGGGAGAATGGGAAAGCTATAAACGTTGAAGCTCTTTGGTGCCAGTGATACTTCATCTCACGTGATAATACAAAATTTGTTGGGACTGTAGCCGAATAACTGATCAGCAGGCAGAAAACACAATATCACGTAGGGTCATATGGACAATGCGACGATAACATAGTGAGAAATTCCCAGAATGTCATATGTTGTAATTCTGCACATATATTTACCAATCTATCCTGTAAATGGTGTCGGTATCCTTACTGCTTACAGGCTGACCACTGCACTTTGAGCCTCATTCTGATGGTATTTACGAAGGTCCAAAGTGCGGACAAATTCACAAGTTCAGTCATATTGACGAGGAAGATGGTTTCCACTACCGATTCTATTTTCTGTACGTTACAAGCGGTTGAATGGTCCTCTTAGCTTTCATTTCGGCCTGTGTTACCCTGTTGAAACCGCAACGACGGATCAAGCTTGCACTCAAGAACAATGTCTAGCAATGGGATCTCCAATATCCCCGGTTTCGGCAAATATATTCATGGAAGGATTTGAACAGAAAGCTTCATTCGGATTTCCACGGTCACCCAAGATATTCTGGCGTTATGTAGGTGACACTTTCGTCGTGATAGAACGAGAAAAGGTCAGTGAGCTTTACAACTATCTGAATTAACTGAGTCCACACGTCAAATTCACTGTGTAGCTAGGGTAAACCTGGGGTACACTGGCCTTTTTAGACTGCGTGACGCGTAAGGTCTGGGAGAAACTAAAGATCACAGCGTACGGGAAGCCAACTGACACTGGACTACTCGTCGGTGTTCATCAATGTTTAGGCGTGTAGGGGCACTGTGCACAGACGAAATTGATCGGACAGCGGCTGGAAGTGAAGTACAGAACAAACTTCGGGGTAGTGAATATCCAGCTAGTTTGATTAAGTGTTAATTCCGACGGGTGTTGGTACCGGTAGCAAAACCCAACGGGGAATGGATTGGAACTGCTGTTATTCCGTATAAACCAGAGGCATCGGAGATCATTCAAAAGATTCTAAAAAAGGCTAACATAAGAGCAGCTTTCCAGAGGGGAGACACTACGCTCTGCACTGGTGCACTGGATTGCCTCCCGGCAAACAGAACTAGGGACTGTGTCTACTAAATAAAGTGTATCGACTGCACTAAGGTCTACATAGGACAGACGGCCAGGGATCTTCACATCAGAACTGGAGAGCACACGAGAAAAAGAGATCGGCCACCGGGAAACGCAAATGAATATAGAGCGTTACTAAACTACTCGGCAATGGCGGAACATGCACTAGATGCAGAGTAGATTTAGAAAATGTTGAGACCTTGAGGCGAGTACTACGGTTCACGCCAAGACGGTAGAAATCACCAAGCATCTCATTGTCAACAGAATAGAAGGCGTGGAACTGACAAGCGTTTGGAAAACGGTTTCGGATTGGTCGAGCTGACACGTGTTGATGTGCGGTTATCAGAAGGAGGACTGTTCATCATTGCACTTAACGTCACCTGCCTTCCCATCTTAAGGTCTACATAGGACAGACGGCCAGGGATCTTCACATCAGAACTGGAGAGCACACGAGAAAAAGAAATCGGCCACCGGGAAACGCAAATGAATATAGAGCGTTACTAAACTACTCGGCAATGGCGGAACATGCACTAGATGCAGAGTAGATTTAGAAAATGTTGAGACCTTGAGGCGAGTACTACGGTTCACGCCAAGACGGTAGAAATCACCAAGCATCTCATTGTCAACAGAATAGAAGGCGTGGAACTGACAAGCGTTTGGAAAACGGTTTCGGATTGGTCGAGCTGACACGTGTTGATGTGCGGTTATCAGGAGGACTGTTCTTAAGGAAGGACTGCACCTCCTTCTTAAGGAAGGGGGACTGCACTTAACGTCACCTGCCTTCCCATCCCAACTAAATTATCGTAACACCCACATGCACACGAGGACCAACGAAATCTACCAATGGTACCCGCGGTGAATCGTCAGTTGAAGCACCTTGGTGTGAAGGATTAATGGACCAAACTCGATCATAGCCATCTTTCGAAAACCGATCAGAGCCAGTTTGAAACTCCATCAACTCAAGATTTTGACAGCTGATGAGAGTCATTAATTGAAAGTCAACAGTGATCTAGTCTGCCTTAAAATCTGACCAACTTGATGACATGCTCACTTGGCCTGATAGTTGAAGATTACTTCACAAATTGCATACTATTCGCAGGCATGAATGACGGATTCTCTAATCTCCTGTTACCTACTAGCAGCGGTATCACCTAGAATGTTACTCCCTCCTTTGTTTTCTTCCTGTGTGTAATGGAAGTGTTCATCACTGGCTTTATCACTACAAATATACTAGTGAGGAAGTGATCCGTTGTAGGCATCGCCTGTTCGGAGCAAATCTACAGATGTTCTGCTGCTCTTAATGAAGTGGTTAGCTGGCCAGATGAATATTTTCTCTCCACCGATTTCCCGAAATCCGAAGAGATTACCTTTTCTCTCAGGTCCAGTCAACGTCACAATGATCCGTTCAAGTCATCAAACCCTCAATGTCTTCAATACCCTTATTCCCAGAAGTGTGAAATATTTGGGTGTGGCTCTATCAAGTGGCCCTAACTGGTCCTCCCACATTCAGTTTTTAGATGAGCACGTCGTAAGATATAAACTGTTTTGGCTCTGAAGTGTAAGGATGACTTAGTTCAATCTAAACGATGCCACAGGACACTGCTGAACTAAGGTAATGTTGTTAACGATTACCAATGTAGGGGCTGTGGTGGCGTCGAAGTTTCCACTTACTGGTAAATTTCTCAGATCCTGTGCATCTCCTTTGATGTACCCGTGAGTGGTACTGGTTAACAAAGAGTAGATTTGTTGGCTCACGTAGCGCAAACTCACCGTTTCTATCGAAGTTTACTGTAGGCAAAACCTACCTAACCATCTTTCGTCTTTAAGACCGGTTATTATGTGAAATCTGTCGTTCAGGTAGGGATGAAGAATTGATGATCCAAGCGTCGGAGTATTCCAAGATGTTAACAGTCAATGCTGGTTTCATCCAATTTTGAAAATCGATGGTGCATTTCCTTTACATGTGTTGCTAATACGGAGTGAGAGTTAATCCACTTTCAGCTACATGGGTGTGACACTTTTCCAATGTTAGTCTTTTATCGCTTTACTGTAGATGATATTTTCACGTGATAATAAATATCAAGATGCTCATTCAAACTGTTTGCATGAAAATGAACGACAGACTAATAGGAGGAGAATGCGCCTAGGGCCATGGCGACATTCGCAGTACACCTGGCGTGAGATTCTGCGAACAAATTGGGCATTCAGGGTCTCAGTGCAATCCTTGTCGCCTGTTGTTCAAAAACAATATTTCAAATAGGATTAAACAGGGAGGGAATACTGTAAAATATATTATCAGTCATAACGGCTCTCCGGAAGAATTGAATATTTTTGGTTTAAGGTTCATTCGGTTATCATGCAAAACTCGGGTCGATTTCCCTTCTCTAGTGGGAGACTTCTGTATGTATACTAGCCTTGAGCGGAGTCATCCCCCGCTGGATACGCAGGATTGTGGGTGATTTCCTCTAACATCAAAGTGAACACATTACCATTATGATTATCATCATTTCATTGATATTCTTAAGGGAGTCAGTAGGTGCTGTTGCCTATCGCCTAGATTCTCCATTATTCCTGAGTCACGTCCTTCTTCCATTCCTTACTTGAGCACCACGTTGTCATTAGCCCTTTTTGTACAGGTTTGGCGGAGGTTGACGAATTACCTCTGGATGTGTTGTTGGGAAACCACAGTGAGACGCGTATTTTGAAGGTAAGCGGATAGACTATGCTTAGAACCGCTTCACACACTAACCTGAACACTGACTATTCTGTCATTAGCTTCGGTTGCCTGTGTACCATTCAAGGTTAGCCATTTAGTGCATCTCACTTATCTTCTCAGCGCTTTACTCGTTTCGCTTTTACATGTCTGATTTTTCTTCAAATAGGACTATCTCAGTGAGCGTGCTATTTCGAATACTCAGTTCAGGGCACGATGTTTGAATTATTTGGATGCGAACATGTTCCCTGGTCGTGTAGCCACATTGAACACACTCGTCTGTCGCGATTGCGGCGCCCGATGTTTATCCCACATGGTCTATCAATGCCGGGCGGCTATACCCTCCTCAGAATTTCCCGAGGCAGTAAATTCACGACCGAATTGCTACTACGGACGGTTCTGTCGTACCCAGCGGACTAACGCTATGCACGCAGTGCGATACAATCACATATGCGAACAAACTCGATTCTAATTGAACACAATCCAGTTTCTGTGCTATCTACTCCCAACCACACGCCCTTGGTTTTTTTCTATCCACAGTCAGTGACTGAAAGCCCAGACTTGCGGACACGATCCACCAACTCATCGTTTGCTATCTCAGTCATGACGGATCGTCGTGAACGTTTTTATGCATCTGTGCTGGTTCCCGCTTAGATCTATTCTTTATATGACTGAAGTTAAAGACGATGAATCTTCACAAAAAGAGCTGAGAAGAAACCAATTATGTGATAACTTTTTTATTCAGCTAACCAATATTTTTCTGCATGCGTGATTTACACATCAGAATCCTGAAATACAGATTTAAACTTAAATTGTGCCCTGATGCAATTCATAAGACTGGGTTACGACTAGATAAAATGTATTAGGACGGAATTCGTTAGAAATACACCTCGCATTGGCGACCTAATGTAGGTTCGGACTGATTGTTGTGATGCATAGGATAGGTGAGAATGCTTCACTTATTTGTACGACTTTCTTGTAACAGAATAGGCCGAAAGATTTTCAGAGGTGAAAAGCGGGAGGTCTGTGCAAAGCTCGCAGTCCACAAGTGATTGACACTGAGACGCATGTGGTTCTATGTGCACTTCGCCAATACCGATGAACCCGACAGGATGGAATCAACGACGGAACACGGTGTGTATGCGTTAAGAAGGCCTAAGCACACTAACATAATATTGCATTGGGGCGCTGGCGTCATCCATCTGTCTTTTCAGGTTACGGAGTCAGTTTTTGTGACTGCTCTCTGGGGTGTGCCCATCAAGTTGCCATTTATTTTGGGATGGATGGATAGCCTGTAAATACCAGCTGGATGATAGCTGGTAGTGTCATCTCGCGCTCCAGCAGTACAGTCGTGCACTTGTCAATTAGAAGAATGAACATGCTCACCTGACACAACTTACTGGTGCTTCCTTAATAGTAAGTTTGCTGAAAGGTCAACCCAATTCCAGTCAGCCGTGTGCGCTAGCAAGCGGAAAAGTTAATGTGACCCTACTCATAAGGTTGCTGAAAATCCATCGACAGCCCACGACCGGTTTCGCCCTTCTTGGGGCTCATCAGGTAGGCGCAGTCCCCGAGTTTCCGTCAACCTTATGTTCCACTTCAAGCCGAATTAAACTGTTTTCGAGACATACACTCATTTTTGAATCAATCTGGTTTTCACAAACGAGAGATTCAGCTGGGTTCCAGGTGAGTCTCTCGAAAGAACCAAATTAGTTTGCAGATGAGTGTATATTCGTTAATATGACCCTGTTTCTGCTCTAAACAGTATGATCTGCCTGGGTTCGGGCGTTGATATACTTTGTGTATCAAAGCATCAATGATGAATACTGATGTGCTGTCGATGATGAAAGCTGTTGAAGTACGTACAGATGTCCACTCGCCTCCGTGAGATATTGTAGTGTTCCGTCGGTCGACCGTCCGTGTTTCGCATTCACCAAGTGATAAAGACGATACAATAGTGAGTTCGAGTCCACATAGATAGATGGCCCAAGTAGTTAGGCGCGAATTTTACTGACCAGAAGGTCTGTCATCATCACCACTGTCAGCTGTAATAACAGCGTACTCGTCGTACACTGGTTGTAGCTGCCGCAGTTTCGTTCACCGGGGGTGTGTGTAGGCAACTGCGCATTGCAGGCGGGAGATGATAAACTGGTGCATAAATCCAGTACTGTCAAGTGGCTCGAACCCGACCTCTGCCTCTCGAGTTCCCCTGTTTAGGCCTGCGCAACCTGGCAGTATCTCACCCCTCAAGCTTCCTTCTGGTGGCATGGCAGCTAGGCACGGAAAGTGTGCCGTAGCTATATCTTCAAAATTTCAAAATGTTCGAGGACAACTCACTGCCAGCTAAAAAGCAGGATCGAGTGTAGCTGCCCCTGGAACATAAGAAGAACATAGCTGATTGGCATGACGGACCCGGATAGGGGAGCCTACGTTTACCTCATAAACAACTTTTCCAGCACAGCGCACAATTATGTGCGCTTGTGTCCTTGTGTCCACTTTTCCACACCATTACGATAGTCCTTTGCTAGCACAGAATGGTATAAACATGATACAGCACCGTGATTTCGGTTGAACTGAACGTCTATATTTGTGTTCCTACCGGTTGGCGAATGTAGCGTTAGACGGATGGCGTCAACGGGTATGCGGATCTCCCGGTTCATAGGTTCAGCTGAGTATGCATGCATGAATGCTTAGGTTACGTTGGTTAGGACATGTACTCCGCATGCCAGAAGATCGTCCGTCCCATCCATCCCTGCTGAAGTTCCGAATATCATTATCTCTGACAACTTCAATGCATTCACGTTCGCTGAATTTTCTGCTTTCTGGCAATAAAATAGCATAACATGTGTGATCATCACCGTTCAATCCACAGTCAAATGGCCCAGTGGAAAGATTTGTGGACACTTTCAAGCACGCATTCTTGATACTTGAAGGGAAGGGAACATATCGGAATTAATCGAGACACTTCTACTGAGTTACAGGGAGGCACCAAATGTTAACGCTACACAATAAATCACCGGTGGATGTACCTATAAACCGCAAGATCCGTATACCCGTTGACGCCATCCGTCTAACGCCACATTCGCCAACCGGTAGGAACACATCATCATCAAAGACAGCAACATCAGTGTTGCCACTGATGCTTCACTGCCGCACAACCATAGGGTTTGTCTAGTTATATATATATCTACTTAAATATATATATA